GGATAAGGAGAAGGGTAAGGATAAGCATAAGGATAAGGATATGAATGATAAGGATAAGAATGAGAATAAGATGAAGGATAAGCATAAGCATTAGGATAAATGTAAGCTAAACAAACTTAAAGATAAAATAAACAAAAGGATAAGGATGGAGTCAAAGGTAAAGATAGAGAGCGGGATAGAGATAAAGATGTAGAGGGAAAGTTAAGAAAAAATGGATATTACTATATGGGCATTTCCAATCTGACGTTACGTTACATTTGTATGCTAAAAAGTCAAACTTTTAAAAAGGTTTTTCTACATATATTTAAATAATAATTAACGACCCTTTATTCAGTTAAAAAACTTGGGTTACAAAATTGCAAAACTCTGCGAATAAGACAAGACTATTTGTATAAAATATTTTGTGGTAATATTTTAAATATTTAAGGTTAATTTTACAAGTTTTTAAATGAAGAAATATTTTATGCTTTTTGTTTAATTAGCTAAACACTGTGACGGTTATTAAAAGTTCCATTGAAAAACTTTTGTTGATATTTTTTTTACGAATTTTAAACGCGAAGAAAACATGCATTTCATGTCGAATATTTTTTGTTGTTTTGACATCAGCGCCACCAGCGGTTCCATTTTTTGCATATTTATCTGTTACTACGTTTTAACTAAACATGCCAAAACAAATCAGAGCATAAATACGACCTTCTCGACCCTGGCACCACTTAGCTAAATCATTTTTCGCAAAAAAAGAAGCCAAATTGGCCCGAAAGGAAATTAGATAAATTATTTTTAATTTTTTTACGCGGTAGACTTTCTGCTGGGAACACCCATATGTTATGTCATATTATGCTGCTCATCTCACCTCACTTCACATCAACTCAACTCATCTCAACTAACTCACCTCACCCCAACTCACCCCAAATCGCATCAATTCACCTCATCTTAAGTCAATGAAACAAATCACAAATAAAATTTATTTCTTGCTTAGTGATTTGATCAATTTGAAATCACTGAACGTAGTCCTATGTGAAGTTCGGTAGATCAAAAAATTTATCTATCAGGATTATGGCACGATTAAGAAGTAAATCACGAAAAGTTGGACTTACGTGGCGCGGCTCATGGGCACTCATTCCGTTTTCTTTTTTTAATTCTTGGCTACTCAAAAGATTTTAATTGCTTCAATGTCCACACAACGATATTCTCTAATCCATTACCTCAAGCAGTGTTGCAATCATGATACTAATACAATTTTCATTACAATTCCATTAACGCAGCTCAGGGAACTTGTGGTAAAATTATACTCCCTTAAATTGACCTAAAATTTTTCTTTATTTACCATTTATAAAATTTCCATACCTTTCTTTAAACTATTTACAGAGAATCTGCCAGGAAGCAGATAACAAACGGGAGGACATGAAATGGCTGGTGAAAACGCTAGACTCCTTACTTAGCTACGCCAGTGAAGATGAGGCAAATCTTGAACAGAAGAAACTCGAAGACCTAATTGCTCGCTACAAGAACCTCATACCAACCATCGAGATAACAATGGTGAAGACGGAGGTGTTCTCCAAGTGCTACACGTATCGCCGCGAGGTGCACGAGGTTGTCTGTCTGCTTAGCAAAGTTAAGGAGCAAGCCACCAATATACCACCACCAGAGAGCCTTGAACGCGTCAACAAATTGATTGAAGAGCAACAATACGCCATTAGTCAGCTTGACCATCAACGTCCGCACATAATGTCGATGTTGCAGCGTGGACGTGACTTGAGCAAGGATGTGCACGCGCCTTCGTTCGTCAATGTAGAGGTGAAGAATTTGGAGAGCGGCTGGAATGAGGCATATACCCAAACCGCCGACAAGCTGCAGTCGCTCAAGGGCACCCAGGCTGTGTGGAATGACTTTGTCGATCAGAAGAATGACATCTTCTCCATGTTGCAGACAGCAGAGACCGAATTGCGTGCGCTGACACCACTTCAAACCGATCCGAAAAATGTGAGTCAAGATTTGCAAGCGAAACGTGAGCTGAATGTGCAACTGCAGCAAGCCTCACATCAATTGCTACCCAAATTGCATCATCTGAAGGCTGAGCTGGCGCCATTGGCCGCTGCCGATAAGCGTCCCATATTGGAGAAGGAGGTAACTGAGGTCGAGAAGATGTTCTTCAATACCATGGAACATGTGAAGGATCGTGTCGGTTATTTGGAGGACTACAGCGCCAAGTGGAACAACTACAAATCGCGGCTATCTGAATTGCAAGAATGGGCTAACCGTGTGGCGCCTAAGAGTATTGAGGCTTTGCAGTCTGAAGATCTGACACCAGAAGAGCGTGTAGTGAAGGTGAACGCTTTCAAGGGTGTGCTTGGTGAACGCATGAAACAGCTAGACATATTGGCGTCGGACGCAGCCGAGCTGGCACCCAAGGAGGGCAACATAGCCGAGGCTAAACGGCTGAAGGGCGAAATCACCAAGCTGCAAGAAGTGCTGAGCGCAATCAATCGCAATGTCGATCATCAAGCAAAGGCTGTGAAGGAGGATCTGGTGAACTGGCAACAGTACCAAACTGGTTTGCAGCAAATCAAACCGATAGTTGAGGAGTGTGAAATCAAGGTAAATACCATAGTTCCTAAGCCCCTTACACTTGAAGAAGCCGTTGCATTGCAACAAAACGCCAAACAATTCGAAACACAATGCCTCGAGCAGTTAGACAGGCTCCAAGGCATTTCAAACATTAGTCATAAAATGCTGTGCAAAACCAATGCCCCTGACGAATTAGATGCCATGCATTCCCGCTGGACATCGGTTCATGAAAATGCCAAGCAAGCCAGTGGTAAGCTGGAAAAACTGGTAGCCAATTGGAAATCGTTCGATGCCGACGCATCGAAACTCGAAGATTGGGTCAACAAAGGCGAGCAGGCGCTGGGAAAACGCCCGGCTGTGCTGAACACCCCGCATGTCGATAAGCTCGAAAAGGAGCTTGTCAAACTCAAGTCATTCAACAACGAAATTTCGGAGCAGCAAGCAAAGCTCGTAGCACTCGGTCAGTCGGCCGATCAGATAAGCTTGCATTTGGCGCCAGAGGGCGCTGTTGCGCTTAAGGAACGCGTGAATGGCATGAAAGCCAAGCTGCAGAAGTTGTCCGAGGCGACACGCGCCAACATCAACGAAGTGTCCGATGCAATTATAGCGCGCCAAGATTTCAATGCCAAAATGGTGAACTTCTCCAACTGGATGGATCAGCTGCGCAACCAAGTGGCGCAAGTCGAAGAGATTAACCCAGAACGTGTGGAGACTAGCTTGCACGTTATACATGCTTTGATGCAAGAACATGCCGATAAGAAGCCCAGCTTCAATGCAATTTACGATGAAGTTAAACAACTCTCGCTTTCCGCACCAGCCGAGGAGGCAAAGACGCTAAATGACGCCTACACCTCGCTGGTTGTTAACTATCAGAATCTTGAAACCAATTTGCAACAAAAGAAGAATGCGCTCGAGAAGTGGACAGAGATATTGGGCTGGAAAAATGAGACCGAAAGTCATTTGAATTACTTGAAACATCAGCTGGAGAAGCCCGAAGGCCCGAAGCCCGTGGAGCTTAACAAGATCATCAACGAGATCGACACGATAGGCAGTTCGGTCAGCTACTGGAAGGCGCAAGCTAAGGAGATCGATGAAAACCCAGCCATACAACTGCGTGACGCTTTGTCGCGCAAGCCGCTGATTGCTACACAGATTGTCAATGATGTTGAAAACAAGTTGGACAATTTGAGGTTACGTTCGCAGGCACAAAAACAACAGGCCGAACAGATGAATGTACGCAAAGAGAAATTCCAAACGCTTGGCCAAAACTTCGGTCAGGCGCTGATCGATAATCGCGCCAAATTGCATAGCATACTGCAACAGAAGCCCGGTTTGCATAACATTGATCAAATTATAGCCGACTTGGTGGCACTCAACGAAGTTATCAAGGGACAGGCCGAACTGAAGAATCGTTTGCATGATGAGGGTTCCTTACTGATGCGTGAAGATATCGGCAGTATGCCGGCCATACAAGAAAGTCTTTTGTTCTTCGACAAAGACTATGACACGCTGCAAAACGAGATTGCTGAGCGCATACAGAAGTATAATTTGATCAGCCAGGCGCTGCGCGAGTACGCCGACACCAAGGATAAGTTTGCGAAGGAACTCAAGAAGGCTGAGGATCTTTTCAATGCTATACCACAGCAACCACGCGATGAAGTCGAGTTGCAACAAGCCGCAGAAAAGACACGCAAGACAATGGAGCAAGTACGCAAGTCCAAGGCGAATCTGGACGACCTCGAACGTCGCGGCAATAATGTGGCGAAGTTATTTGATGCCATCGGTGAAGTTGTGCCACAAGAAATTGCTAACGATGTAAAGGCAGCCAAGCAGCAATGGCAAGATTTGCACGACAATACGGCAAAGAATGCGCATATGTATGAAACAGAGGCTGTCATCTGGTCACAAATCGAAGACGCTAAGAAGGAGCTACTACCCTGGCTGACTGAGACCAATCAAGGTCTCTGTGATGCTGCCGATAATTCAATCGAAATTGAGTTCGGTCCTATGCGTTTGACAAAGTTCCGCGCCGAACTGCCCTCTTATCAGGTATTGAAAAACACCATCGCGGAGAAGAGTCGCGAGCTTGTAAACGTCAATAATGGTGTTGAAATTCCAGCGCTTACTGAGCTGAACAAGCTGCTGACGGCGCAATTCCAGGAGGTCGATTTGAATGCTGCGCGTCTAGAAGCAGTCACTTCCACCTTCAATGAGCAGGAGCAAGACTTGCGCAAGAAGATCAAGAACGCTGGTGAGCAAGTGAATAAGCTGCGCGAGCAGCTCATCAAATGCGATGACATGTCCGGCGAGCCGAGCAAAATCATGGAGCGCCTGTTGACGTGCCGCGAGCTGCGCGCCGAACTGGACAACAGCGCAAACGAGATTGACAATATCAAGCAACGCGTCGACGAGATGCGTGCGCAGTATCCAACATTCAGCGAGTCAATCATACCCAAGGAATTGAACAATGTGCAGAAGCGCTTTGAGGCTGTCGATGCACATGCAAAGAAGATCGAGTCCTCACTGCTGCAATTCCTCAAGAAATTCCATGCCGACAAGGTGGGCATGCTGAAGCGCATAATCGCCACGCAGCGCGAGAAGGTGGCTTGGTGCCAGCCTGAGTCGACAAGTGACAAATACAATCTGGACGTTAAGCGTTCTTCACTGCTAGAGGTCAGCAAGGCAATGGACGATTGCCACAAGCGTAATGCGGAAATTGGCAAATCCTTAGCGTTGCTGCAAGCCGTCGAATCACCACAAAATCTCAAGGATTTGCAAAATGATGCAGAGCTGTTGAATGGTGAAATGAAGGCGCTTCAGGACAATTTCGACAAAATCAAGAATGTGCTAGATGAAAATGTCGATTTATGGTCACAGTATGAGCAAGCGAATGAGGAGCTCTCCTCGTGGCTGCGCGACATTGAAGGGCGCATCAAAGCCGAAACGAGTAATCAAGTTAGTGTACCAGAGATCGCGAACAAATTGCAGGAGCTTGCGCTCTTGCAACAAGACATAAAAGCGCATGAGCCGATAATGCAGAACTTAGAGAAAACATCGCAGTCGCTGATGGCAAAGAACCCTGAAGCACGCATTGGACAGTTTGTGACACATCTGCTGCAGCGCTACCAAACTGTGGCAAAGAGTTTAGCCAGCTATATCGATAAGGTGCATAATGCACAACGCGCCAATAGCGACTTCGTGACAGCTGCAAAAGATTTCAACGAATGGCTCACCGATGCCAAGATTGAGTTCCAAGAGTTGGCGCGCATGGGTTCGCCAGGTTCGTCTTCGGCCACCGCGCAGCAATTGCAAACGGTTAAGAACTACCTGAAGACGTTCGACAATGGCCAGCTACTGCTGAATAATGCCGTTGATATTGGTGAAGCGCTATACCCCGTTGTGACGCCTGAGTATCGTGAGAAGATACGCGCCGAGCTACGTGGCATACGCGAAAAGTACGACTACCTGCGCGACGAAGCCAACGCGCTCTTACAACAGATTGAGGCAGTCTTGATACAGAAGACATCCATCGAGGAGAGTTACACGCAAGTGTCGCACTACCTCAACGATTCTAAGGCGAAAGTGGCCGCAGCCGATGAACTCTACCCCACGCTGGCTGCCAAGAAGAGCGCCTTGCAGAACTACAAGACACAGCTGCAAGAGATTACATTGCATAAAAATGCACTGAAGCAGCTACACGACAAAGCCGTGACGCTTTGCGACGACGAATCTGAGCGTAAGACCGAAGAGTCGATTGAAGAATACAATGGCTTGTCCAAGAAAATCGCCGAACGCATCAATGTTGTAGGTGACCAAGTGGTCAAGCATGAGGCATACGATCAGGTGCTGGAGAAGGCACAAGATTGGCTGAACACCATTAAGTCAGAGGCCATAGACATTTTGAATGAGACCACATTTGAGAAGGAAGGCGCTGAAGAAAAGTTGACTGTGGTTGAGAATCTGCTGCAGCACAAATCCGAAGGCGACTCGATATTCGACACATGTCAGAAGCTACTACAAACCGTGCTGACGCAAACACATCCAAGCGGACATCCAGCTTTGTTGCGTAGCTTTGAAGAACCAAAGAAGTCTTGGGATGAATTTATGACGCTGTGTCAAGATTCGCTCGTCAAACTGAAACAGCTTTGCTCGAAATGGGATGAGTTTGAATCTATTATCGATGAGATTGACAACTGGATGAAAGATGTTGAGAACGTTGTAAAGAATCAGAGTCTAAAGAGCACGGCTGGCACAAAGAAAGCGCATTTGGTACAGCTGCAAAACATTGCCAAGGATATCGATCAACGCGCTTTGTCCATCAACGATCTACTCGACCAGGGTCGTGAGATCGAGGGTGAAACCGATTTGAACCTGAAATTATCGCGCATCAACACGCGCTATCAGACCTTGAAGAACCTCTGCAAGGAGTCCATTGCGAAGTACGCCAACTACGCCAAAGACCATGAAACCTTCGATGCCGACTATGAAGTGTTCAAGAAGGACCTACAAGAATGTATTGAAAATCTGGCGCAAAACGCGGAAATCGTTGGCGATCAGAACATCTTGCAAGAACATCAAAACAAACTACGCGAAATGGCTGATAAACGTATTAACGACTCAACAGCGTTTGAGAGTTTGATCGACCGCGGTGAGAAGCTCTACGGACACACCAGTCCCGATGGACGTGAGATCATACGCCAACAGTTGCGTACGCTGCGCACCATGTGGGACAACTACTCCGATGATCTGAATGCGGCTACGCAAAAGATCGATCACTGTCTGCAACAGTTCAACGATTTCAATATCGCCAAGGATCAGTTGACCAAGTGGCTGAAAGATGTTGACAAGGCGATGCAAAGTCACACGGAACCGAAGACTACGCTGCAAGAGAAGCGCGCACAATTGCAGAATCACAAGTTGCTCCATCAGGAAATCACGACACACAACGTTTTGGTGGACAACGTCTGCGACAAGGCGCAGGTACTGATCGATCAGATCAAGGACAATACGCTGAATGTCTATCTGCAGTCCATCAAGCAGCTGTTCAACAGCATTGTGCAGAAATCTGAAGAGATACTAAACAATTTAGACAAGTGTGTGGTGGACCATACAGACCTAAACAACCAAATTGCAGCCGCAAAGACTTGGATCTCTGGCGAAAAGGAAAAATTGTTGGAATGCGATGACGCTTATGGCGAAAAGGCTGACATCAAACGCAAGATAGAGACACTCGTGCAGCTGGCTCAGAGTAAACCAAACGCGCAAAAGTTAATCGCGGAAATACGCGAACAGTACGAGAAGGTGAAAGCGACCACTTCGGAAAGAGGTAATGAAATACTTGAAAAAGAGATCGATGAGCTGGAAACTACAGTCAAAAGTCACTTCGATGATATCGAAGGAATCGAAGGTAAGCAAAAGGATGTACTACAGCAATGGAACGACTTCGAGCGAAAACTTGAAGAGCTCACTAAGTGGTGTCGCCAGGCGGAAGGCGTCTTCCGCGAACAGCAACTGAAGTCAACATTGCACGAGAAGGTGGAACAGTTAGAAAAATTCAAGATCCAACGCGATCTCATCTTGCAGAAGGAGAAAGAGATTGACGCATTCGCTGATGCGGCGCATGCGCTCTTGAACAACTGTGGCGCGGAACGTCTCAAGACGCTCACCACACAGATCACCAACCGCTACCAGCTACTGCAAGTGCTGAGCAAAGAGGTCGTCAATCGCTGGTCGAACTTGGTGGACGATCATCAAATCTATCAAGACAAGTACAACGAAGTTGATTTGTGGTTGCAGCCGATTGAGCAGCAATTGGACAACGCTTTGAAGAATGAACCCTCCCAAGCTGCTAACATCTTGCAAGTTCTACTCTCTGAGCGCGAACAGGCTGAAGCGCTCCTTAGCGCGCTGAATGCAGCCGGCGAAAAGGCGTTGCCTGAAACCTCCACTGAGGGACGCGAGAAGATACGCAAAGACTTGCGTGACATACACGAACGCTGGGATAAATTAGACGAAGGCATACGCAATCTGCAGAAGCGACAAGAAGCACAAAGTGTGCAGCTATCGAGTTATCAGGACATACTCGGACAGACACTCAACTGGTTGGACCAGGTAGAAAAAGTGTTACAAAATGAAAATCCCAGCACTTGGACCAGCGCGCAGGAAATACGCTCGAAATTGTACAAGTACAAAGCCACTACGCAGGACATCAATTCGCACAAACGCATCATTGAGGCTGTGAATGAAAAGGCTGCTGCACTCTTGGAGGGCAGTGCGCCTACAAATGTCGATGGAATCAAGGGCGCCATTGCTGATGTAAACAAACGGTATGAAAAAGTTGCTGCCGATTGCGCCACACTGCTTGGCCAACTCGAAGAGGCATTCGAAGTGTATCAGCAGTTCAGCGAATTGCAAAAAGCGCAACAAGATTATCAAAAGAATCTGTGGGACCGGCTGACCGGCTACTCAGATTACTCCGGCAACAAGCCAGCCTTACAAGCGCGCCTAAATAAGATATCCGAAATACAAGATGCCCTACCCGAGGGCGTTTCTAAGCTGCGAAACCTCTCCGCGCACATTGACGAGAAAGCCAAGTTGCTGCCAGCGCGCTCGAAGGAGGCAATGTCGCGTGACTTAGCCAACTTGCACGCCGACTTCGATAAGTTTAGCGCTGCGCTAAGCGATGTGAAGAGTGGCTTGGAAAATCGCCTGCAACAATGGAGCGACTACGAAGTCAACTTGGATCGGCTGATCAACTGGCTGAGCGAAGCTGAGAATGCGCTCAAGAACTACAATCCCAAGTCGACGATGGAGGAGAAGGAAGAGCAATTGAATCGTTTCCAATCGTTGATGCAGAATTTGCGTCAAAACGAAATTGAGTTTGAAAAAATGAAAGACGACTCATCGGAGCTGATTCAAAGTTCTGGTGAGACCAGAATCGCCGTTAATGTACAACAAGTTACTTCACGCTTCCAGTCGATACAAGCGACTACTAAGGAGATACTCAAGAAATGCGAACAATCTGTGTACGAACATCAACAATTCAATGAGAAGTACAAGCAATGCGCCAATTTCTTGGCAAATGCGCAAGCGAAGTATGACGACTCCAGCGATCTCTCGCAGGTGGGCTCGCGCGATGATTTGCTTAAAAAGCAAACCGCAATCCAAGAGCTATTGGCACAGCAGCCTAATGCTTTACTGATGTTGAACAGCACCATCGAAGCGGGTGAGAAGTGCTATTCGTCCACTGCCACAGAGGGACGTGAAGCCATACGCGTGCAGCTGGCCGAATTGCAAGAGGCCTTCGACAAGCTTTACGACAATGTGACAATCACCTCCAGAAAGATACAAGACAAAATGTCCAAATGGTCTGGTTTCGACGAAATTGCCGAGAAATTGCAGACTTGGTTGGCTGAAGTCGAGAAGACGCTGCCAGCTGAGATCGAATTGAAAACCACTTTGGATGAGAAGCGTGCAAAACTGCAATCCTACCGCGATGTGCTCAACGACCTCAATAATCACCAAGTTGAGGTGAAGAATCTGCAAGAAATTGCTAGCAACTTGCCAGAGAAGAACGATCATGTCGAGCAAATAACCAAAGAGATTGCTGAGCAATTCGGCAAATTGCATAAGCGAGCGCAGAACTTCGTCGAGCGCTACGAGGCTATTGTGAGCGATCACCAGCAGTACACCAAGGCCGTGATGGAGGCACAAGAGTACATCGAGGCCACGCATAACACCATTGATTACTGGGGCGATTTGGATTTGGAACAGGTGTCATTGCATACAAACTTGGACCGCTTGAAGAATCTGAAGGACAGCTTGGCTGATGAGTTCCCACGTGTGGATCAAGTGCGGGCCCTGGGTGAGAAGGTCATACCAGGAACAGTCGAAAGTGGACAGACGAATATCAAGTCACAAATCGACACTACCCAACAAGAGTGGGAAGGCCTCATCGCTGCCATCACGTCGACAATTGAAGCTATCGAGAATAGGCTGCAACAATGGGCCGAATATGAGCAGCTACGCGATCAGTGCTTGGCTTGGATACGCGAATCTGACAACAAGCTGCACGCGATTGACTTGAAGCCCACGCTAAATGACAAGAAGGCACAATTGGAGGCGCTGAAGAATCTGCAAGGTGAGATGCGCGCCAAGGAGCTGGAAATTGACAGCGTTTCCGAGAAAGGCCAAACATTGCTTAAAGGCGCGTCCAGCATGCGCTCTTCGGGCCCAGAACTAACGACGAAATATCAGCAAATCTTCCATAAAGTGAAAGAACTCAACAACCGCTGGCAACAGTATGTTACATCGCATCAAGAATTCGACAACGCCGTCTCTGAGTGCGGCACCTGGATCAATGGCATCAAAGATAAATTGGACTACTGCGCTGATATGTCCTCCATGAGTCAGAAGGAGTTAGATAAGAAATTAGCAACCATACAGGACATCATATTGCTAAAGGATGAGGGCTCTGCGAAAGTACTCAGCATTGTTGAGTTGGCGCAGAACGTGCTGGCCAATACAGCACCAACCGGCCACGAAGCGATCAACAAGAAGTTGGCAGATCTGCAAGAGCTGTGGTCGAATATTGCTTTGCGCATTATCGACGTGAAAGCCACACTCGATGACTCGATTACACAGTGGTCCGGTTTTCTGGAACAGGTACAAAACGTACGAAAATTCAACGAATGGCTGGAGAATGTACTCAAAGAACTTGCCGAACATCAAACCACAATGCCTGAGAAGCGCGCACAGCTCGATCGCGTGAAGGCCACCGAAGAGAAGGTGCGCATGGAGAAGATTGATGTGGATGCATTGAAAGTGCAGGCAAGAGAAATGATTGCTAGCGGCCAACAAAGTCAGGCCGCCTACCAGGCACAAAAGGTGCTCGACACTTTCGATGAACTTTGCACGCGCATACAGAAGCTGCTATCCGATCGCCATGATCAGTACAGAGATCACAGGCTCTACAAGGAAGCCTATGACGATCTGGTAAGTTGGATAAGTCGCGCGCGCGAGAAGTTCCCCTCGCTTAAGCAGAGCAGCCTCAGCGACAAGCTGGCTATTGAAAATTTAGTGCAGGCCACTGAAGCTATGCTGAATAAGCAGGCGCAGGGTGAATTATTAGTGGAACATTTGGTGCACACTGGCGAGGTTGTGCTAACCAGCACGTCGCCGCAGGGTCAAGAGATCATACGCAACGATATACGGGCGCTGCGCGACAGCTTCGAGTCGCTCTTCCGTGAGATCAACCAGCAGAAGGAGAGCTTGGAGGTGACTATGACGCAGTGGCGTGCTTACAAAGACGAATACGAGCGCCTAATCGAATGGCTGCAACAAATTGATATATTGGTCAAGAATCACAAACTAAACTTGTCACCCAGCTATCCGGAAAAAGAGAAACAGGTGGCGGATATGCAAGATGTTATGTCGCGCCTGGAGAAGGGCAAAGATGATATCGATAAATTCAATGCCTCCTCGGCGGGCCTACTAAAATCTCACTTGGAATCTTATGTGACGAACCAGCTGCGCCATTTGAACTCAATGTACCAGGTGCAAGTAAATCTCGCTAAGGATGTGCTGAAGAAGGTCGAAACTAACCGTGATCAACATCGTGAATACAACGCCAACCTGAAGGCCGCGCAAGATTGGATTAATGTAGCGAAAGAAACCATACGCGAGGCTAGTGACTCTTCCAGCGCTGGCTCGAAAGAGCTGCTGCAAAAGCGCTTGGAGAAGATTCAACAGTTGATCAGCAATCGTGAAGTGGGACAGAACTTGGTACACACAGCGATCAACAACGGCGAGAAGGTGGTAAGAAACACGCGCTCCGATGGACGTGATGCCATCAACAATGAAATGAAGGAGCTGCAGAATGACTGGGACAGGCTGGTGAAGAAAATGTCCACTGCTAAGGTGCAGTTGGAGACCAACCTGCTACAATGGGCTGACTACAGCTCGAGCTACTCACAATTGCAACAATGGATAAGCGATCGCGAGTCCAAGTTGCAACAGGCATGCGAGCAGAAGATTGTAAAATCGAAGCGCGGCCAACCTGGCTTAACGTCCGGCCTGAGCGAGCGTAAAGCTAATTTGCGTCAGACCAACAATATTGTGCAGGATATAGTGTCCTTTGAACCGATGATACAATCGGTTGCCTCGAAGGCGTCCGACCTACAACAGGGAGCGCCAGCCTCCGAGATATCGTACAAGTATGAGACGCTCACAAAGCAGGCCAAGGACTTGTATGAGAAGCAAAAGAATACAATCGACCAATACCAATCGCTCATTGATGCAGGCAACGAGTTCGCTGCTTGGCTGCGCAGTGCCAAAGAGCGCCTCAGCAAGTGTTCCGAGCCCACAGGCGATAAGCAAGCGCTGGCCGAGAAGACACATCAGCTGAAGATATTGCAAAGTGAGGTGCCTGAGGGGCAAAAGAAGCTGGAAGCGGTGCTGACGCAAGGCGAAATCGCTTGCCACAATGCCGAGCCCGAGGATCGTGAGATCATTGAAGAGGAAGTGGCGCTGTTGCAAGAGGAGTTCGACGCCTACGTGGAGGCGTTGAAGAAGGCCAAGGACTATTTGGAGGTTGGCATTGTCAAGTGGTCAGATTACCAAGATCAATATAGCGAAGCGCTGGAATGGCTCACGAAGACAGAAGCATTGGTGCAGTCATACAACAAATTGCAGGATAGCTTGGCGCGCAAAAAGGTGGTACTGGAAGAGTTCCAAGGTCACTTGCAGACACTGTTCGATTGGCAGAAAACACTGGATCATTTGAATATGAAAGCGCAGATGCTGCTGGAAACCTGCTCTGACACGCGCGTCAGCAACGCCATCATGCAGTTGACAACCAAGTACAACACGCTGCTCACGCTGGCCAAGGAAGTTATGCGTCGGCTGGAGTTGCACTACCAAGAGCACCAACAGCACCGCACCCTGTACGAGGAATGCCAGTCGTGGATTGAGAGCACACGCGAAAAGCTCGCCGATTGCGCGCAGATACCGGGCACTTTGAATGAGGTGCAAATCAAGCTAAGCACTGTTAAGAACTTGCGTCAAGGTTTTGAGTCTGGGCAGAATAAGCTACGCTATTTGCTGGAGCTCAAAGAGAAGGTGATTATGAATACCGAACAGAGTGGCGCCACCAAGGTGCAAGAAGACACCGACGCTTTGAAGCAAGACTTCGACCAATTGCTGATTGACATGAACGATGTGCGCCAGAAATTGGCAAATCGCCTAGCGCAATTAGAAGAGGTTTACAAATTGCATAAGCTGCTCACCGAATGGCTGGAGGACATCGAGCCCAGCGTCAAGGCAAGCGATGACTTCTTGAATGATTTAAGCGAAAAACGCGCCGCGCTGGAGAAATTCCGCGCCATACAACGCGACATCAACGGCCATAATGACATTGTCGAGAAGATCAATGCGCGCTTGAATGAAGACAACAGTCTGGACCCGAACGATTTCCGTGAAGGTCTCAACAAGTACGAAAACTTGCAGGAGACTGTTGGCAAGATTATCGAATCACTCGAGAACCAGGTGAACAATCACGACAAATACAAGCAGGCATTCAATGAGATACAAGATTGGCTACGCCGCACACGCATCGAAATCGAACAGTGTGCCGATTGCCATGGCGAGAAGGTGCAAGTTGAAGATCGCCTCAATAAGTTGGGTGATATTGGCGCTTCAATGGTGGAAGGCAAATCACTGCTCGATGCCTGCGAAGAGCTGAGTCAAGCTGTTATTGCGACCAGCGGTAGTGAGGGACAAGATGCGGTGTCGCAGGAAATTAAACAACTTGTCGCCGAATGGGAAGCGCTGCAAGCGATGTTGCGTGATGCGCGCGCCAATTTGGAGAATTGCCTTTCACAGTGGAATGCGTTCTTGCAGAATTTCAATAAAATCAACAAATGGATTGATGATATTAGCAAGCGCGTGGCTGCCGCCGCCGAAGCTGAGAATAAAACACCCGACGACTTGGCATATGCCAAGGTAAGTTCATTCATTATCTTCACTACCTACTAACCAAACAAATACCCCCTGCTGTGCTTTTACTAAACACACACATACCTAACTAACTAATCAACTAAGCTTACTCAGTCATTGGATATTCACACATATTTAGCCGTAGGTAATCCTAATAAGTGCTGCGTCTCACCTACAAAACACAGTGTACAAAACACTATGCTTTTTAGATGACACTTTTTTTTTTTATTGAGAAAGTATTTTCATCAATACTAAAAATCATTTAAAAAATTATTTTTGTTGTAAAATGAATAAAACTTGTACTACTGCTAACCATTTTTTTCCAAAATAAATTTTAAAACACCTTTTCCCTTTACGTTCTACGCGCAGAATTTGTTGGAAGAAGTTTTGGCGGAAAAAGACAATGTGGAGGACTTGAATGACGCTTGTGAATTGCTTATGGAACAAAGCGCCTGCACGCGCGTTCGCGATCAGACTGTCGAGACACAGGCCAACTACACCAAATTGCTGACATCAGCACAAGGTTGGTGGCTTGCTGGATTTTATTAGACTTTTTGTTTATTAATGATTTATTGTTTTCTAGGTCTCGTTTCCAAGATTGAAAAGAATCTATCTGATCACACCGAATTCTTGAACTACAAGAAGGAAATGGACGCCTGGATTGAGAAAGCTCAACAGATATTGGATGGCTGCACTGCAGATGGTGATGTTAGCGAAATAGCCCAACAATTGGAGACTGTCAATGTAAGTAAAATGATTAAACTACTCAAGAGAGATGTTTTAAGCATTTAGGGCTAAATTTAAGAATTTATGCGATTTCGTTGAACTGAAGGGAGGCACATCTGTAAAATAATAGCTGCCCTGTAATTAAAAGTCCTCACATCCTCTCTTTTCTCGATGAGACCGATTCGTGGATACCTTTCGTGGTCAACTCAACCAGTTTTTTACAATATGCATATGTATCTCTGGGATGGTAGCCATAAATCTAATTAGAAAATAACCAGGCCGAAATAATGGCATTGCATTGTTGCCACGATAGTCTGATCCACATATCCCGAGCGACTCTGATCCATATATGGCCATGGAGTGCAAAATTATAAAAAGTACCTAAAAATTAAATGATTAAAAAAGTATTTTTTCTCTTTAAAATAATATTATCTAAAAATTAAAAGGAATTAAGAGAAATTAAAAAAGTATATCAGGAAAAAGGAATAAGGATATTTCCAAAAAAAATTATTAAGTGAAATAAAAAATATGCTATTTTTTTAATACAACAAAATCAAAAAAATTTAAATAAAAAAGAAAAAAATTTCATTAGAATTGAAAGAAAAAGTGTTTAAAAATAAAATTAAAATAAAAAAGTATTTGTCTTATTAAAAAAATAAAATTAAATCTAACAATTAAATTAAAAAACGAAAAAATAGAAAAATGAAATAAGTAAATATATTTTTCTAAAAAAATACAATCTAAATATTAGAAAAAATTACATTAAACAAAAAAACATAAATGAATTATTTATTAAAAAAATCCGCTGCCTGCGGATTTGAGCCTCGGCACGCCAGTGCTCTGCCCACTCGGCCATAGCTACAGTTGGAGCAGCGCCAGGAAAATGATTTACATATATCTTCATTTGGAACATGCTCAAACTTTAAGTAAAAAAAGTTAAATTTTTTTTTTTAAGAAATAAATTAAATAAGTTCATAAAAATTAGACGAATTAAAAAGAAAAATTTTAAAACCATAAATTCTTAAACTTTAATAAAAGTTTAATAAGAAAAAATAAAAGAGTTTCTAAAAATTAAATATTAGAAAAACACTTTTATTTTTGAAGCAATAAAATCTTACAACTAAAAGAAAACTAAATTAAAAACGAAAAAAATCAAATTAAAAAAAGCAAAAAGTTAACTTTAAAAAATTCATAAAAAAAACAAATAAATCAATAAAATCTAATATTAATTTAAAAACGAAAAAAAAATAATTATAAAAAATTCTGCTGCCCGAGGACTTGAGCCTCGCATCTCTCGAATGACACGTCAGTGCTTTGCGCACTCGGCCTTTGCGCCTGTTGCAGCAGCGCGAGCTTTCTGTCAAAGAGCTTTTCACCATGAAAGTTGGCAAAAGTGCTTCTTTGGAGGACTTTCGGGCCAGAATAAACAAAATCTTTCAAAACATGGCTACTGTCTTTAATTTTTCTTACAGAAGACTTTCAACTATCTTAGCCAGAATATCTTATTAATTATACTTATGTATTTACAACGGCTTTCTTCAGTCAAATTATTTATTTCTTATCTTTTCTTTTTTCTTCACAGTCGCTGGCATCTCGGCTTCCCGAAGGCCAACACCTCCTCGGCATGGTACAAGATGCCTACACGAAAGCTTCGAATGTGACACCCGAAGGCAAGCAAGAGATTTTGCGCGACCTAATGACCAAAGTGCGTGAGGACTGGGATGCTTTGGGTCTTGCTGTCAAGCAGAAGTTGACCGACCTTAAACAAGCACAAAATCGCTGGTCAGACTTCGCCAACAATCGCGATAAGCTCGAAAAGTGGCTCACTGATACAGAAAATACACTCAAAACCGCACCCGATACTAAGGGTGAATTGAGCGAAATGAAGACGCTGCTCGAACGCTACAAAACGCTGCAGAATGAAATTAAGCAGAAAGGTGGCGAAATTGAAAATTTGTTGGGCGAAGCTAAGGGTTTGGGCACTGAAGTGGACGCTGTGCATCAAAAGCAGGCGCGCTGGGAGAAGGTGAAGAATGATTGCGCTGCCTACATTAAGGGTCTCGAGAACGAAATGGCCGACTATAATGCCTATCATCAGAGCTTGCAGGATATTGAGAAATGGCTGCTGCAAATTTCCTTCCAATTGATGGCACACAACTCGCTGTTCATTTCGAATCGTGAACAGACCGAGGAACAAATCAAGCAACATGAAGCTTTGTTGGATGAAATACAAAAATATCAAGCCAACTTGGATGATTTGAATGCGAAGGGACAGGCGCAAATTAAACGTTACGCCCCAACGACCCCAGCCATACGCGATACGGTCGAAGAACAGTTGAAGAATATTCAGGAAAGCTACAATTCATTGTTGCAAACTTCTGTACAGATCAAGAATCGCTTGCACGAGTCGTTGGCCAAGTTCAAGGAGTATGAGGATACATTGGATAGCATAATGCGCAACCTGGAGGCCTATGAACCGGTTATACAGAATGAGCTTGATGCGCCGGCAACCAGCTTGGAAATTGCACAACAGCAATTGAAGTGTGCACAGGTGAGTGGGAAAGGGTTAGACGATAGGCGAAATTATAAATATGTTATACGTTTTTTAGATTTTAAAGAACAATTGAACAGGACTTTAAAAGTAAACACTTTGATATCGAACAGTGTAGGTTTGAATAGTTTAAAAATCTTTCTTTAGTGGAAATGGGGATGGTTATGCGCGCAAAGTCTTTAAAAATTGTAAACACCAAGTGATACTGAAAAACCAGAGTTACAACGAACTGAAATTAATAAAAAAAAATTGAGAAATGTTTAAAACGAGTTCGGAAACTTATTATAGTAATATCGATTTCCAAAGTAATACAAGTGCGGATACTGATAAGCTTTTTTTTTATAGATTTATCAATAAATATATTTATAACTGTCTTTAAAAATCCTTATAAGCATCGAAAAATTTCCGATAACAATATCGATAAATATGTCTATGTACAATTTCCAACAATATCAAAAATTTTATCGATAAATATATGAGTCTATGAAAACATCAATAACGAATATGAGCACAAATATGCCGCTAGATTCTTCTAATGACAATAACTTGTGGTTATGCTCTACTGGAGAAGAACGATGATGAGGCCAAAGAGAAATTCTGTGTATACTTTGACGGGGCATAAGAGCGCTGCCCCCATACGATGCTAAGATTGCGCTTGGCGACTTTAAATACTGGGTGAGCAAAGAAGGCATAGGTATCTGGTTCCAATGTCGGAAAGTTCAGCTTTATTGACAACACCTCCTACAAAGAAGAAACACGGATCGACTTCACCGCGGCATGGTGCATAGTAGTTAGTAGTACTAAGCACCAGCATTGAAACATCTAAAAAGCCACTTAAGTGTCCCCTCATCAAAGGGCTAAAAACAACATTGATCACGTTGTGGTAGACGGAATACCTTATAAACAATGTATTTAAGGTCCTATCGAATAAGTATGCTGTGCGATAGACTAAAACCCTTCACGAAACACCTAATTGAACCTGGAAAATCCACCATTAACCAGATTTTTTAGTACGCACCAAGAAAACCATTCATAAATGATTACGTAGTAAAACTCACAGACTCAATACTACCTAAGCTGACCTTAATAAACCCTACAAGGTAATAATACCTAAAAGGGATAAAACGATAATTGCCATGTTCAGCGAGGGGACTCAGCGTGGTACACTGATGGTTCCAAACCTGAGGGCGGGAACACTGGGGCCGGCGTATATAGATTTACAAAAAAAACGTCCCGATGAGCATACACCCAACCATATTCTAATCAGAAATTTTTGCAATTGAAGTCTGTGTCCACGAATGTCCTCGCAGAAAGACTAATGGAGCAACAACAAATATCATTTAGGATAGTCAGGCCTAGAGCACTTGACCTGACCGGCTCTCAGACTTTCTTTAGTCCATCCAGAAGATACACAGCGACGCTCCTAAGGCGATTGGAGGACTTGCCAGTTATAACTCAATATTGCACGACAAAGGCAAAAGGCAGTGCAAAAGATTTATATTAAATCTTAGCAGAGAAGGTTTAAGAACTCTAACCGGATACCTGACCGGATACCGGACACTGCAAAATGAGGTACCACTAGACGAGGAAACCTCGGATCATATACAAATTATGTGATTGCCCGCGTGTAACTCGGCTTATAGACTTATACACCTTGGATAATGATTATCATCTTCATCCAGAATCTTGAACATGACACCCTCCAAAGTGCTTAATTTCATTAATAGCCTAAGGTTGGAGGGACTGAATAAGGGCTACCATAAAATATCTAGACCAAGCTAGAAAGCTGCTAATTTTGGGATTACCGCAAAACTAGTACGGATAATCACAGCGTTTAGCTTTTCAGACCGTTCACTATCGTGTGGCTTTCTCAATATGATGTTGGAAAGCTTAATACGACATGCCTTTATGACTGAGACCGGTACCATATAACGCAAAGCAGGATGCTGCAGATATGGGTAGATGACACTGACTTCGTTAGCCTCAATAGGGTGCTGAGCGCAGATTTTCTAGTTTAAAAAAGTAGATAGAATAGGTTGGTCTAGCGGGGTCCTAACGAAGATAAGACAAGCAGCAACACACAAAGAGCCCCCGCGTATTGGAACATGCATCACTGCTGCTAGTTATAACTTTGAAGTAGTAGAGGACTTTGCCTACTTAGAACCTAGCATAAACACTATCAGGAACGGCAGTTTGGGAATCAAGCGTAGATTAACTCTTGCCAATTTGCTGCATTGGGCTTGATAGGCAATTCGAAAGCAAAGCTCTCTCTCTCTCGGCATACAAAACTCACGCTCTACTGACCTCCCATGATACCCACTCTTTTCTAAGGTGCAGAAACGGCTAATGAACAAAAAAAAGAAGAATTTGTTTGCCTGCGATTTTGAGTTGCGTAATTTAGCAATAATATGTCTTGGAACGTAATTATTCCGGATTATTTGCGTTCATTTTGTAGATAATATTTGTAAGCTTTCAAATGGTGACTTTTTTAAGATTTAGTAAGGATTGGATTGAAAAAATACGAAGTAAGTAACAACTCCTAGGTAGTAGTAAACGAAAATAACTCCGCTGGTATTGCTGAAAAACGGCACAAAACGAAAATGAGCGTTATTTCTTATAAAAAATTGCGATAACGGTGAGACATGTGCACTCTGTGTCGAAAGTTTCTATTAGTCAAAACTTAAAAACATTAAACTTTATTCAAACTGTTTACCTTTGATATTTTGTTTTGAAATTTTATCAATATTGTTTTTTATTTTTATTTTTTTTTGTCGGGGAGCGATATCTTGGTTTAGAATATTTCTACTTTTAACCGATTTTATCGATTTTTTTTGTCCCTAAGGAATCATTATTCTTGGTTTTTTTTGTTGGCATACACATAAGAACATTAAATAGACCGTACCACCTTACAAGCAAGCAAAACAAATATCGCCGTACACCTCTCAGTCTAAGGGTACGTTCACACAGAAAGCGGAGCCGAGCCGAGCGAAGCCGTTCCGAGCTGGGTAAAGCTTTCATATTGCGCTTTGGAGCTGAAAACAAAGAAGTTTTTAATCGACCTCCAAAAAAGGAGGAGGTTATCACTTCGTCGGAATATTTTTATTTATTTTTTTTTGTTATGTATGTTACCGCATAACTTTGGACCACGTCACCCGTTTTTTTTTTGCATCGGAAAGGTAGCGTTTCAGAGGGCTCCCATACTCATCTGGTCTAGATCCGATCATTGGATCATGAAATATATATATATATTTTTTTTTAACCGACTTCCAAAAAAGGAGGAGGTTATCAGTTCGTCGGAATATTTTTTTTTTTTTTTTTTTGTTATGTATGTTACCGCATAACTTTGGACCACGTCAACCGATTTCGCTGCTGCAAAGAAGATATCAAAATATTCAAATAAAAGCGAATTTTACAACGAATCTTTTGAATAAAATTGAGCAAATACATATGTAAGTTTTATGGTATCTTTGCAGCAGAGTCGATGAGAAAAGCACACTGCGCTTCGTTCAGTGTGAACACCAGCAGCTGCGCTTTGTTCCACCTTGCTTCGCTCGGTGTCGCTCGGCTTTCTGTGTGAACGTTCCCTAAAGCATTTTTGTAAGGCATTTTCGAAACAAACATTTTTTTCTTTTGGCCGAACCTAGGGGTTGCCTTGTTACATTTTTCGGTGACACCCACTTTCGGCAATACTATTTTTTGAAATAGTTCTATTGGAATAATCCAAATACGTACCTCCTTTGCAAAAGTTAAATGATTTTTGGTGAGCTTTAATTTATTGACATTAGGGTGGTACGCCAGTGTGGTAGGAACTGGAGTCTGGTTATTTAGTAGTAGAACGTGGTGCTCGAGATCAATGAATTTCGACTCACAAAAATTTAATATGTATGACGAAAACTGAAAAAAGATTAACCCTGCTTTCGACAAAAACAAAAAAACAATCGAAATTGCCTTCGAATCGAAATAATTCCTTAGCAAAATGATTTTCGAAGGGCTTTAATTTACTGGCATGAGGGTGGTGCGTTAGGGTGGTAGGACTTGGAATCTTGTGGGTAAGCAGTAAAACAGAGTTGAGTTTATTTTAGTCCATTCATATAATATGAAAAATTAAAAAAAAAACAGATTATGTTTACAGAAAAAAAATAACATATAAAATATCGATTAAATTCAACCAAAAATATAGTTATAAAAAAATTATTAGTTAAGTATGATGCAAAAAATAAAATTTTATTTTAATCATTGAATTCTCTTCCCATTTCTATTCCCCGACTTAGGATCTGCAAAACAAGCTGAACAACGAAAAGTCGCGCCTAGCAGCTGCTGTACAGGCCTGTGAAGCTGCCACTGCTTCCATCAGTCGCCCCAGCTCACCGCTGGAGACTGCCATGCAAGCCATACCCGAACGCGAGCTTATTGTGCGCGCAAAACTGGAAGATTTGCTGGATCAGGTAGGTTCTGAGCTAAGAAGCTGGGGAAACTTTTTCATGAAAAAGAGAGAAGAAAATGTTAACACTTTTTGTAGAGCATATGTGTACTAGGGAAACTGTAGTATTTTATGTAGAAAACTAGTAACTGATAACAAATATGAGCTTATACAATTTGTTAAAACACTTTTCCCCAAATGTGAATTCGTTTTTATATTATTATTTTATTTTTATTATAATTATAACATGTAACCTTATTTGTTTTTGTAATAATTTCCTGTTTAACTGTAATCCGCTGCACTTACACTACAACAATGCGCACTGCTATTTGCCAACAAAAAATCCTCCCTGTTCATTTAACCACCCACGAAAATCCCTTACCCCCAAAAAAAAAAAAAACAACTCTCAACCCAAACAACAAACCCACTCGACTCGGAAAAAGATGCCGAGCAACCAAGAAGTATTGCACTCAAGCAACATCACCGCTAAGGCTGTTAGCGATGTTGAACTACAAGAGACTAATAACGCTCCGCATGATCCAGCTGCTCAAGAGCGTTTAAATAGAAAATTATCACGCTCTAATAGCGAGCGTGTAATCAAGCTTAATACATTAATCACTAAGGTAAGTTTGCTGCCTCGCGACTAGCGAAATTTTTTGGGCTATTTCAAACGCTGCTGAAATTGTAATGCTTTCCTTAATGCTTTAGTTTTGTACTAATTTTCCTGCTAAATTGCTATCGTATTCGCAACCCCAATGTAAATACATACATATATGAGCAAATCTCAAGAATGGTTACAAGAACGTGTTTATGGTCGAAATTGGTGGCACACTTATCTAAAACAATGCATTATCTTCAGTTATGCATAAGGAACAAAATTCCATCGCGAAATTCTACTTAAATAAAAACTTAAAAAAGATATACTAGAAAAAGTCAAAATAACAACTCGTGCTCATATACCTGAAGTTGTGTATGCAACGTATACGCCCCGTAGCACGATGCACAGTCAGCTGACACATTTACTCGCACGCACGCCTTAACTTAAAAGTCTTATTAGTTTAAAGTAATTAAATATGTGCGTAGAAGATTTTTACACAGTATTCCTTATGGTCATACATACATATATATTGGTTTCTTTATGTAAATACATAACAATTTTAGAATGAATTTCGAGTATGCCAAAAAAATGAAAAATTAAAAAAATGGAGTTGTAGTTATCTTTTGCTTTGAAGTATTTTAAATTAAATAAAAATTAAAAAATAAAAACGTAAAAGCTCAAAGATTACAAAATAGCTGCGACAGATATCCTGCATGCTGTAATTTTTTTTTAATAGGTGGCACACTCTTTAAACTTCACAGATATGTTGTACTTGATGCCAGCGTCCATTGCCTCTAATATGAATATTCTATTTGAAAACTTCCCAAAGTTATTAAAAAAAACCAACTATGACTTTTCGCCTAAATAAACGTTTTACTTGATTAATTTTTTATTGTACATACTTGTTTCAGGAACTCCATTGATTTAAATAAATGCAAGAAGAATGCTTTAGCGTTTTTTTTTCTGGCGAGAGAAGCGAGTGACCCTAAAAAAACTAACCCGTGAGATTTGCTCATATACCTTTATATAACCGCTCATACATATATACATACAAACATATTTACGTATCTATGTACATATAAACATAAAATAGTAGTTTTAAGGTCTTTGGGCAAAATTTCCCATTCGCTGTACTAGGTTCTTTGGGTACTTCATATTTTACATTTCTTGCTTCTTTGTTTTAGTGAACTAAAACGCATACATTCTTGTTTTCTTTGCCTAATTAGGTACAATCCCACTTGGGTGGATTGACCGCTTCAGTGAGTGAATTAGAGCAACAACAGAAACAGCGCGCTGAGCTTCAAGATTGGGTTAAGAGGCAGCAATCAACGGTTAGCGATTGGCTAACACGGCCATGCAAGTTGCGTCCCGAAGCAGCCAAGCAGGAATTGGTTGCCATGAATGATTTGTTGAACTCCATTGGAGACAAGCGTTCACAGCTAATGTTGGAAATGACTGGATCATGTAAGTATTTGATAAATTGTATAATATTTTGTTCTTCAGAAAGAGACTTTTTCTCGCTTTTCCCCATAAGAAAATCTCCTACTTATTTGCCCGCACAGTCGTCTTTCGGTTTTTGTCAAGACTAATAAATTCGTTGAAAGCGAAATCGTTGAATTTTTATTATGTCAAAAGGCTCGTTCAGTTCGTCACCCGTAGGCTTTCTTAGAACAGTTCTGCCGAAACTCTCAAAGTCTTATCGTCTTATTATCGCTACCATTATTCGAGGTGTTAATGCTGGATTCTAGGAAGACGACGTTCTTCACTATTTCAAAATTATAACTGTCAACAGCGACATTTATCTCACGAGAAGACTCTTTGTGTGATGCCAGCAGGTTCTTTGCCTTGTACCGCTGTGATTCGTATTCGTATATTGTCTAAAACCTCTTTTGGTCTCGAACGGTGCGAGTATGGCCGTTTCAATTTCATTTGAGCTAAAAGTTATACTCAATGTCCCTCTTAAGAGCCGTTTCAATTTGCACGACTCTTTCTTAACAACCATTTCAGGAAATGATCCCAAACTAGTCTCGAAATTGTCCTGAAGTAGTCCTGAAGTGGTTCTGAAAAAGTCGTGAACTTTTTCACAAAGGCTCTTAAAACTCTCTTGAAATGGTCCCTTAGTAGTCCCCTAGTAGTTCCGAAGTGTTTTAGAAAAAGCCCTGAACTAGCCCCGAAATGGTCCTGAAATAGTGCAGCTCCAGACACGAAAAAATCTTGAACTAGTCAAGAAATGGTTCTGAGCTAGGCCCGAAATAGTCCTTAACTAGGCTCAAATGGTCTAGGTCTAGTCTGGAAATGGCCCTGAAATAGCCGTGAACTACCGCCTAAAGGATCTCAAACTAGGATTGAAATGGATCCTCTTTTAATAGTCCCAAAATCATCCACAATCCCGAAATGTTCTAAGAAATGTACTGAACTAGTTCCAAAATAGCCCAGAACCAGACGCGAAATGGTCTTGAACTAGTCCCGAAATGGTTCTGAGCTAGGCCCGATATAGTCCTCAACTAATTTCAAATTGTCTAGGACTAGTCCGGAAATGGACCTGATATAGTTGTTAACTAGTCTCGAAATGGTTCTGAAATAGCCCTGGAATTGGCCCCAAAATGCTCGAAAGAGTCGTGAAATTGTTTCGAAAGTCTTGGAACGATCTCGAAATTGTGCCTTGTTAGTCCCAAAATGATCCCTAACTAGTTCCAAAACATTCTTAAAAGAGTCCTGAACTTGTCCCGAAATGATCCTGAACTAGCCCAAAAATTATTCCGAACTGTCCTGGAAATAGTTCTGAGCTACTCTCGAAATGGTCCAGAACTAATCCTTAAATGGACCTAAATTTATCGTGAACTAGTCCTAAAATAACTCCGAACTATACCGACGGCTAAAAATGATTTGGCAACAACTCCTCAAAGTTCCTCCCTACTTCTCACTTTATACCTCAAAAAAAGGGAGACTCTCAGCTCAAATAAACTTCCACATTATCATTTATTTCGCCTCAAATTCTAAACCGATCTCTTCTCTCCTTCTCTTTATTTGTAGTGGCCGAAGAAGACACCGATCTGGACGATAACCTCGACAAGCTCGAGTCCGAGCTGATGGATGCTATCGCCAAGAAACAAGCTGGCCAAAATGATATCGATAGTTACCGTCAAGGTGTGCAAGATGTACAGAACTGGTTTGACTCGCTCATCAAGCGTATGGATGTGCTGGACAAGGGTTCTGGTTTGAATTGTGGCCAAAAGGTGGCTGCCATCAACGAAATCAAGAAGGAATTCGAAGATCAAGGTCCCAGCAAAATACAAGAGTTGAAGGGCAAGGCAGCGCAGGTAGCTGAAGTGATTAGCAATTTGGATGGCCAACAGGTGGAAGAGCAAATGAAATCATTGGATCGTCGTTATGCTGATCTTGGCAAACGTATCGATCGCAAGGCACAACTGTTGGATGTCACCAATAAGGGCGTTGATGGCGCTAAAAGCGAAATCGAACAGCTACACAACTGGGTCAAAGACAAGATACAAGAGCTACAAACACCCACGGCCATGGGTTATGAACCCAAAGCTGCCGAATCGCGCCAACAGGCAATCAAGGGTATTATGAAGGAAGCTGAGGCGAAGAAATCGCAGGCTGATGCTTTGGAGAAACGCATTGCCAATATGAAACCCGAACTGGAACCTGTCGAATACGCGCAACTTGAGTCTGCCTTGCGACAATTGAACTCCGAGCAAAAGAATCTCTCCGAGGTGCTGAAGAGCGAGTTGGAACGCGCATTGGATGCGTCCAAGGCACGCAAAGCGCTCGAGGTTGATTTGGAGAAGGCGCGCGCTTGGCTGAAGTCGAAGATTGCCGAAGTGCGTAAATTGCCGGTGTACCATCCACTGCCAGCGGCTGAAATCGAAAAGCAAATACAAGAGAACAAGAAGTACGACGATGAAGCCAAACAATTCAACGATTCCGTGTTGAGTGATGTACAGCGGCAAGCGGCAAATATAATGAAGGACTGCCCAGAGGCGGATAGAGCAGCTTTGCAGAAAATACTCGACGAAATCGCCGCCGACTATCAAACCCTGAAAGATGAGAGTGGCAAGCGTGCCAACGCTTTGAGTGATCTGCTGCAAGGACGCAAGTCCTTCGAGGACGCCATGAAGAACATGGGCGATTGGTTGAGTGAAATTGAAACGGCAACAGCTGGTGAGTTACGCACCACCAGTGTGCCAGTCTTGGAAGAACAAATGGCGCACTACAAGAAATTGCTGGATGCTGCTGAGGGCAAGGCTGGCTTGTTGAATAATGTTGCTGATCAGGGCAAGGCCATATTGCCCACGCTCAGCAATCCTGACAAGCTGAAATTGAATGACGACATCAAGAACTTGAAAGATCGTTATGGCAAAGTAACGCAGCATATTAAGGATCGTGTCAACACGCTTGCGGATCATATCAAGAAATATAAGGATGCCAAGGCCAAATTGGCTGATTGCATGCAATTCCTCAATACCATACAGCAACGCTTGCGCGAGTTGAATAAACCAATCGGTGCAAAGATCGAAGACGTTCAAGATTTGCTCGGCGCCTATGAGGGTATACTCAAGGAGCTGAAGGATAGCAAGAGCAAGATGGGCGACATACAAATGGATGACTTGCCAGAGTTGCAGAGCATATTGCAGCAACAGGACGATATGATAAAATTGATTGAAGATCAATTGGCACATCTGCGTCAACTGCTTCTACTGCGTGAGCAGTTCATAGCGCTGATCAATGAGATTATCGCTTTCATTATGAAGTACACCGATGTTATAATCGATATTGAAAATTCGCCCGACAGCTTGGAGGACAAAATCAACAAGTACGACGATGTCATCGTCAAGATCCAGGAATGTGAGGGTCTACTCGCCTCCGCTAGCGATAAGGGACAGAAAATTGCCTCCGAGGGCTCAGCTGCCGATAAGAATAGCATCACTGAACAGCTGCAGTCGCTGAAGAATCAATTGCAGAATCTACGCAAGGCTGTCGAGTCACAGCGGCAGAAGCATCAAGTGCAGCTGGAACACCATCGCAAAATGGCTGCCGAACTCTCGGAAATACTCGATTGGTTGCACAACAATGAGGCATCGGCCAAGTCACGTCCGCTGTTGGATCGCGATCCCGAGTCGGTGGAACATGAAATTCAGAAACATCACAAGCTGCGCAATGAAATTCAATCATATCTCGATAAATTCAACAAAATCAACGAAAGCGTCAAAACCGAGGTGGGCATGCCCGGCTCATTGGTGGAAATGCTTTCCGAAGGTCGGTCGTTGGTCTCCTCACTGCCACAAGAGCTTGAAGATCGCGAGAAGTATTTGATCAATAATCGCGATTCACGCCTTGAATATATGAAATTGGTCGCGAAGTTCAACGACTGGGTGCACGAAGCTGAGACACGCCTACAGAATAGCCAACATGGCATCGATTATGAAAATCTTGTACAAGACTTGGAGGAGCACAAACTCTTCTTCGGCAATGAGACCCCAATCAAAAATTTGGTACATAAACAAATTCAAGAGGCAGCCGATAAAATCTGGCCGTCTCTGAGCAACTTCGAACAGTCGGAATTGTCACGCGAATTGGCACAATATCAAACGAAATTAGCAAACACTTTTGCATTGGCAAAATCACAGCAAGGCGAATTGGAGAAGGAGGTCGAACGTTGGCGTGAATATCAACAATCGGTGGAACGCGTTAAGGCCACTATTGAGCGTAGCAAATTCAGCGACGAACCAGTGCAGAATTTGGCCGGTCTTCACTTCAACATACAGAAGTTGACACACGCTATTGGCAATGTGCAGGTGAGTTTGATGAATATGAATTCAGTGCTTTATTAAACTGTATCTATCAAAGTTAAGATGTGGCTAAAAATGAGGAATCCTCTGATTTCCAAACATTCCTTGGACAAAATCGAGAACAGTTTTCAAAAAAGTTTTACTAAGCCTTAATAGTGACCGACTAGAAGAAATAATTTGTGACAAAATCTTATCTTATTAAAAACGTTTGAGTATTGAACTCATCGTTCGAGAATTTGTTCACTGAGTTAAACCTCTTTAAGGCCCCTAGCATCAGAAAACTTGAGCCTTTCCCCTCTAATTGGTAATAAATTGCGCTAATCAATAATATCCAGATGATTTTATCTGGTTGAATAACAACCCTAAGTCGCTTAGTCCTTGGGCTTCAAGTAGTGAAGATCTGAAAGTACCCACTATCCGTCGTTTCGCCGACTTTCTGAAAGTTCTGTGACTTCTGGTTCTTGTCCAGTCTGGAAAATAAAAGCAAAATTTTGGCAATTGTCTTGCATCTCACCACAATTGTCAATTCTGGCAACTGTCTTTAAACTAACCACAGTTGTCAATTCTGGCAACTGTCTTTAAACTAACCACAGTTGTAAATTCTGACAACTATCTTGAAAGCTCTTTTCTGTCAGGGTTAATTGAAAGATTTGCTAAGAATGAGGCCTTAGCGTTATTCTGTTTGTCTTTTAGCAATAAGTTTTCTAAAATTTAATTTAAATAAAAAAATGTTTCCTTCTAAAACAGTAAAAACATAAAAATAAAAAGAAAATTAAATTAAAAAGACAAAAACTAAATTAAAAAAAAAAAAAAAAAGTTTCTAAAAATTAAATGATATTTAAAATAAATATATTATCGGAGAGCTAAACCGCGTTAAAAATAAATATTTTTTTAAATAATAATAACTAAAAATAAAACAAAATTAAATAAAAAAAAGAAGAAAAAAATAATAAGATCCTAAAAATTAATTGAAATAGAAAATAAAAATTTCTTATTAAAACAATAAAATATAAAACTCAAAGCACATTAAATTAAAAAAAAAACATAAAAATAGAAATAAACTAAACTAAAATTTAAATGAAATTAATATTTTTTCGCTTTAAAACAATAAAATATAGCAAGTTGTTACTTAGCAACAAGTAATTTTCAAACAAAAAATAACCGACTTCAACGCTCATATACAAATTTAGGTCCAAAGTTATCCGGTAAAACATAACAAAACAAAAAAAAAATATTTCGGTGAATTAATAATCTCCTCCGTTTGTTTGAAATCTGTTAAAACCTAAAAGATAACTAAATTAAAAAAATAAATGCAACGAAAAAAGGAGAAAAGTCTATGTACGTTTCTAAAAATTTACAAAATATGAAATAAAATATATAAAAAAAAAATAAAAAAGAGAGATAAGTTTGTGGAAATGAAAAAATAAAAAAATATTTTTCTTTTTAAAGCCATAAAACCTAAAAGTCAGAAGATTTATATTTATTAAAAACAAGAAAAAGAATTAAATAAATTCCCAAAAAAATTAATTGAAATTTAAAAATTTAGCAATAAAACCTGCTAAGAATTCAAAGAGAATTAATTTTAATAAAATAAAAGTATAAAAATAAAATAAGTTTATAAATAAATAATAAAAGTATAAAAATAAAATAACTTTAAAAATTAGATAAAATTGAAAGATAGTTTTCTTTTTAAAACAATAAAATCTAAAAATTAGATTAAAAAATTGAAGTAAAAAGGAAAGAAAAAGACGTAATATAAGTTTCTTAAAGTTAACTGAAATTAAAAAAAAAATATATATTTTTTATGAATAAAATCTAAAAGTTAATAGAAACTAAAATATAAAAAAGAAAAAGAAATAAATAAAAAAAAAACTTCCCGAGGATTATAACCTCGGATCCGAGCAAACACAGTCTCTAACGTTACAAAAAAACTTTTGAGTTTACATTAGCTAAGAGAAGTATGTTTGAATTCGATTAGGGAATGATAAGAAAAGCACTAGACATTAGAAACAAATTAGAATTCAACGTTACAATACGATTCGATATTTAAGCTTTTTCTCGATAACGAGAACTAAGGCCCCTTTCCGTAAAGAATGCTATAACTCTCAACAGTTTCTCTAATCGTCTTCTAACCTTCTACCTTAGAGAAACATATTAGAACACCGCGAGCAACATGATATATATACATATGGGGCGATTCACGTGAATCTTTCGATTGAGATGACTAAAAACAAAATTAAAAATTGCCATAATTAAGAAAAATTACAAATAAATTATGGTTTCAAATTTTCACCATGAGAATGGGAAAATTTTGGAAAACGCATAGCAGCATCGGAGTGCCAAAAATTTATAAAAATCATAATTTTTGATTTTTTTTCGACATTTTCTGTCTGCTAGTTGAAAAGTAGCTTGTTTTGCAACGCTCAGCGCGCTTGGCACATTTCACGTGAATCGCCCCATATGTAAGTACATCTCCATTTGGAACGTGCTCAAGTGCTTCATGTCAAAAAAGTTTTTCATTATGAAAGTTGGTGAGGGATTTATTTTGGAACACTTTCATGCCAGAATGAAAAAAATCTTTCAAACTGTTTTTCAATTGCCTTACAAAAGACTTGCAACTATCTTAGCCAGAATTGCCCCATTAGACTCATGCAGAACGGCAACAAGGCTTGTGGGCGGCTTCAAAACTTTCCTAAGTAAATTATAAACGTATAAGAAGATTGCCTTGTCAGTTATTAAAGATTTAATGTCAACGAACGGGCTGATACTAGGGATGTTCCGATATAAGTAAATACGAGTATGTACTCGATACTTTTGTTTCAATACCTACTACTTTTTTTACTTCAATCGTTTTATCGATACCTACTTAGTATCGAAATAAAAGTACTTGTATCGAATCGATTTGAGGAAGTGCCATACCTTTCGGTCATATATTTTCTATGGAAAATAATTGCTTCGCTTTTATGAAAAATAATTGATCTAAGCAATGGCACCGCCAAAATCTAAAGAGGGGATATATTTTTACAAAGTTCAAGCAATGCTTTG